AGGAAGTTTGATCCTTTCACACTCATCTTTTATTTCTTTTTACGACACATGGATTCAATGAACTCCCAAAGCATTACCAAGCCACCATTCTTCAATGGGGATAACTATGGCTATTGGAAAATGCGAATGGAGAATTTCATTCAATCTATTGACTATGATTTATGGATAGTCACTACTCATGGTCCGTTTGTTCCTATGACAACTGTAGGTGAACACCAAGTTCCTACTCCAATGGACAAACTCACCACCGAAGACAAGAAAAAACTCTCCTTGAATGCCAAAGCATTGAACGTGTTGTTTTGTGCCTTGGGACAAGATGAGTTTGCTAGGGTGAGCTCTTGCAAATCCGCAAAGGAAGCATGGAAGCTCCTAGAAGCCACCCATGAAGGAGATAAAGACACAAAAGCTACCAAGATAGCTTTAGGAACATCCGAGTATGACAACTTCAAGATGAAGGCCGGAGAATCCGTTCAAGATATGAACAAGCGATTCAACCTCATTGTCAACAATTTGAGTAAGCTAAATAAAGTTTATCCTACTAGTGAGATTAACACCAAGATTATATTCTCTCTTCCTAGAGAGTGGCATAGGCTTGTTGTAAATTTGTTGCCCAAATGTGCGGATGTTGAAACCTCCACCATTTGGAGCAGCCTATACTCTCACGAGCTTCTTTTGAAGAAAATGAAGGAAGAAGAATAGGTTCCTATCATCAAGAAGACCATGGCACTCAAAATTGATGACCATCCGGAAAGCGAAGGAGAAAGTGATGAGGAGCTTGCCATGTTCAAGAGATACAAGAAGTTTATGAAATGGAACAAGGGCGAATCCTCAAAACGATTCCCATCAAAGAAAGGTAAACCTAATCAAATAACTTGCTATGAATGTGGAAATGTAGGTCATATCAAACCAGAGTGCCCAAAGCTCAAAAAGAAGGAAGAGCTTAAAAAGGGGAAGAAGAAGGCATTAAAAGTCACTTGGGACGATTTAAACTTCGACAAAAGTGATAGTAACCAAAGCCAAGAAGAGAACGCAAATGCTTGCTT